GTTTTTGTGGAAGGTTCAATAAACAGGAATGTTTGGCCCGATATGAGAAGGGAGAGTGGGGTTACGTGTTTACCTGTTGGTGAAGAACCAGAGATATTAGCCACGACAGAAATTTACACCTACACCTAACAGAAATATTTTTTGGTCAGGAATGTCATGCAAGGAAAAAAAGAATGGAAGACAATGTCAGATCAAAAGTTTTGCAGTTATACTTATTACCAAAGTTATTTTTAAAATTATGAATTAAATTACTAGTAAATTAGCAGATTTTTGCAAAACAGATATTACAAAGAATAGAATCTGAACACACTCAATTATGGTTTTGGTCATGTACTTAAAAGTATCACAAACAAACATAAATGGACAAAATTAAGTAAGCTGTCAAAGAGATGTTAGGAATAAACTGAATAAGGTTTACAAAGCTTTTTGAAATTTCTGAAAGCATAAATACCATTTCAAATAGTTAATTAAAGTGGATGCAGTAATCAAAATGGATGAAAGATCTGTTGATAAGTTGCACTCTGTTTCTGTCTAACCAACTAGCTGATGAAATGGCTGTAATAAAGAAAAAAACCCTTGTTTTCAGTTTTCCCCCTGCATTTTGGATCTTTGGCTGGTATTAGAATAAAATGAATACTTTGGTTTTTAAGCTAATCTTAATGGTTTAAAGATAATCTTTAAAATGTATCATCCTGTCCTATTACCAAAAGCTGAATACTTTTCTTATTTACATAATTTGTTGACAGATGATTGCTTAAATACTTTGAATATTGAAAATTTTGGAAGCATGGAACTGTCAGTTATTATCATTTCACCATTACAAACATTACGTAAAAGTTGGCATATTTAACAATTATGGGTTTTTTTTTTCCTCAGTTTTTTCAGTGGATTCTCCTTGCAAAACTAACAGACCCTTTAGTCACCTAATGTAATTTCGCTAAATACCGATATAAACCAGATCTGAAGTCTTCTGAAGTTTTATTCTCTGGAAAGGCTGGATTTAAAGAAACTAAACTGTCACACGACTTGAAATCACACAAAACACAGGAAGGAGACTGAGTCTTGATCCAAAAGCTGATTAGGAGATTGTATGCGCTAGGATCTTCCCGCGAGTTAAGTGCTTGCTGGATAGATTTGGTAGATAGTCTTGTTACCTTCAAGATATATTCTCTGGTGAACTTTTGTTGTGGAAAAATAGAATTTACTTGATGACAGTGGAGTGGACAATGATCAGCTTCATGAGGAAATACTTGCATGCGCTGAACAAACTCAGACTGGTGGAGAAGCTACATCATCTTAACATGTCTAAGGCTCCAGAACTGCCTTCCTATAGGTGATAGAGAGAACTTAGGAACTAATTCAAACTCAGGTTTGAAAATATGGGGGGGAGGTTGCACATAGAAATACAGCTTAGGGAGACTATGGAAACTGTTAAAAGAGGAACAAGACTAACTTCTTCCCTTTATCTTTCTCCAGCTGTAAGCAATGAAAGCTATCACAAATGGAAATAGTTGGTAAGGCTTTAATCATCTTGTATTTACCTCAAAAAAAAAATTGTTTAGTCCCCTAAACTGTTACGAGGAATACCTGAGTCTACTAGAAACCAAGCAAGACACAAACTCATGCTCATGGTGCGAAAAAAATAAGTTTTCATTCTTTTTGTCCTTTAACTGTGAAATTTATGCAAGCATCTCAGTTTCTGAAAGGATGAACAGACACATATAGCAGGGAAGATGCATTCAATTGCTTGTACCAGACAAATAATTTGGTATTTTAGAAAAGGCCAGAGTTGGTGAAAACTTTCTTGCAAACCTGCCATCAGTATGTGTATCTGTGTTAGTGAATACACACCAGCTAGACATGTCAGAAGGAAGAGTCTTTGTAGCACACCTCACCTTGCAATACTGATCTGCCAGTCCAGTGACCCATTGGTAATCATATCCTGAGAAAAGTGCTTAGAGGTACGAAGGAAAAAGTTATTTCTGGGCACCATGAAATTCAAAATTTGAAGCCTATGACATGGCAAGCCGCAAGATTTCCTGCAAGAAAGAATTCTACTTTGATTATTTAGGATGGTGAAACATTTAAAGTTAAGATGAATTATGATTAAGCTACCTGATCATGTTGAACACTGAGCATACAGTCTGAACTACTACCCTTCAGGAATTACCTTGCTCAAAATAAAGCCTAGAAGACTGACAGGGAATTGGGCTACCATATATAAAATATAGTCCCAAAATAAATATGGAAAGTACCTGTATTATATAGAGAGAAATTAATATTGTCTGATTAACTACACTTCAACAATAAAAATGGTTGTTTTACATGCTGAAGGTAACTGCTTATAAGAGCAAGATGATGAATTGAACCTGCTCAACACTGCAGCAGAAGTACTTTGCCCATAATCTCTGTAGCTTTTATCAAATATCCCCTTGAGGGGATCCCATGGCTCTGTAACTCAATTTTTCTTTTCTAGTAAGGATTCTTACTGATTTGGTCCTACAGATATCTATCCTTCCAATCCCCCACTAAAAACCAGATGCCAGGCACCTCCTAACTGGTCTACAAACACATTTAATACTTTGTGCTAGAGGCACCATCTTCTTCAATATCTCTCTTTCTTCTGGATCTGGGTCAGGCATCCTGTAGCAAAGGAACAGATACACGGACTTTCATGGAAAACCTGTCTTACCAGAACTTAAGTGTCTGTTGAGTGACTCTATATCTCTAGGTTTTTATTCCTAGATCTACTGCAGAGAATGTGCTATATACTACCTGTTCCTTACAGATGTCTTAGTTTACTGGATTGCGCAGACTACCTTTTACTGTAAAAGTACTTTTGGAATTAGCCTAAGCTCACTGACATGGGTTGATCCAGACTGTGTCAACGGCATGTAGAATCAGGCAGTAGAGTTCTGCAGTACTTCAAGAAGGTTTGTTTTTTACAACCAATGGATTTTCTTGCATTAGCACAATCCACTGAATCTTCTCTTTCCTATATTATATCTAGATGAAGAAAGAAACATTCCAGGTATGAGATATGCTTCCCATTTAATATTTCCCCCTCAAAATGCAGCTTGGATTTAGTAACTAATCAGTGCTATCCTGCAGTATACAGACTATCATGAACACATTTTTCCCTGAACTCAGCTAAGGCAATCCAAGAAACTGAATTTACATAAACAATCAGAAGATTTTATTGTGCAAGTTCATAAATTCTGACAGATTCATGGAAGAAGACACTCGATATGAGTTAAGAAACTTTAACAATACTACACAAATGCAAGTGCACTGGCTGCAAAAGCAGCCAGCATTCTAGAAATGACTAATGAAGTACTACAGCAGAATTCTGCTAGTGGATGCTTCAGCTTGTACAGCACTACTAAAGCACAGCAACAGGGTATAATAAATGCAGGAGTGATTCTTTGTGAACATGTGGTATATCTAGCTTCTGAGTCTATGAAATTATTATTAATCCTGTTCACCGAGTCTTGATATTGAATGATTTAGTATTTTCCTGCTTAATAAGCAATAGATGCAGTCTATGAAAGAGAGGTAAACACAGACGCTGCTTTCTCATCTCAAATCGGCAGGTGCTACAGCAGTCCTTCTAAAGGCATATAGTAACACTTCCACTGCAGGTACGTACGGTTGTATAATTCTTTCCAACTCGTTGGAAAATGCTTTCTAAAAAAATACCTGCAAGCCATATGGATCCGTTTGGTGGTGGCATCTGTCTGAAGTCAGATCCCATACATCTGTCTTGTCTACGGGGCAAGGAATATGAAAAATTTTCATTGAAAGGCAGTAAATGCATTTGACTATGTTTTCAGTCTCTTCTGTCTCATTTTGAGTTTGTTCATCAAAAAACTGTGGCCCAGTCTGAAAGAAACCCAGAAACTTTTGCCAATGAGTGGAATGGAATGATTTTCCAGTGATGGTAAGTTTTCCTCTATAGTAGGCTTAACCTTGCCATTCAGATGGGGTAACTTAAAGCTAAACAGCACCTGATAGATTAGTAGATCGTAATGGCAACTTGGTTGCTGAAAAGATCACACATACTAATTTTCCATCTGATACTCATGGCATGGCTAGAAGAAACAAGGACTTAACAAAATACACGTTCAAGTGGGAAAAAGCTGAAAAAGCATAAATATCATCTTGTCATTAACTCCCAGTTCAGAATATCCAGCAACAAGAAGGAAACTAAACTGGTTCTCAAAAACTCCAAGTCTCATTCTCACCTCTGCTCTGATTTGTCACATCAAGCCATATCTGCATCTGTAAAATGAAGGTGATTTACAAAAATACAAAAAATTAAGTTGAAATCTGAGAATGACAGTGCTATACATTACTACTACATATATCCTACAGAAATATCTTCCCTACCTTACCATTAATAATTTACTGTTATTTACTCTGTAATTTACTCTATGTTGCTCTTTCCTTAAAGATTAAACATTACAATATTTTAAATGGGAAGAAGCAGGAAGAGTTGTACAAGCTCACTTGCAAACCAGGCAGAAATTTCTCTGTCTTACTTTCCAACTGTGGACAAGTTCCTGCAGGAATCAAGGGACATCATAAGCCTATATATTTTCCTATATTATAGGGAGGGACTATTCATGCATTTTATTAAACAAACTTTCAGAAGTGCTGAAATTCTTCAAAGATGAGGGCATTAGAAGACAAGCTATCAGAGAAGCTGAACTGCTTAACTGTTACAGAGTTGTTTAAAAAAAGGTCTTTGCATGCCTAACAAGGACAAACATGGGGGAGTTGACTTAAAGTAGTTACTAAGAAAAACTGCAATGCCTAAAATGATTTGTAAAATCAAGTATAAAGGTAATTTCTTCTGCCATACCTGTGAAAAAATATCTGTGTTTAGTAAAAGAACTCCAACTCTGAGATGGTTTGAAGCAAATTCGAGACCATTTATTATAGAAAGAGACCATAAATTATAATTTAATAGAAATCAGTATTTTTTCAGCATGTCTAGTTTTAAGTTGTAATTTTTCCCTCATGTAAAAAATAAATCCATATAGCAACACAGAATTGAAACTAGACACAAACTGGAGTAGTTTTTATATGGCAACTTGCTCGAAAATAAAACTTCATCATAAACTGACTAACACCTACTGTTTATTTAAGAAACAAGTTCAGAAGAAAGTTAAGGTCATTTAATGCGTTTCAATTTTGTGTTAGAATAGTCTTGATCAAGAATCTCATTTTAATAAAATCTGAAAAGTTAAAATATATTTTTCAGTGTAAATATATTACTGCTTCAACATTTTCTTCTATACAAATTTAGCTGTTACTTATGGCAACGTAATTGGCTGGAAAGATGCCGGTCTGTCCTCCTATTCTTCCTTCCCACCAATCAAACTGGGAGTCTGTTTTGGTTGTGACTGTGATTTTGTCTCCAGCTTTGAAAGTCAAGTCACCTGGCTGTTGGCCTTCGAATGAATAAAGTGCTGTCACTTCTACTGGATTACTCCAAGAGTTACCTGAAGTGAAAGAAATTAAATAAAAAGGAAATTACCAAACTGCACATACAGTAGGTCCTTAAATACGATATTCTTAAATGACAGTAGAAAACAGTGACAAAGACACCAAAATAACTTATCTGAGCATAGAAACCACTGATGAAAAATCCCCTCCATTTCCACTACATTCCCAGGTAAGTGAAAATTGGATTCCAGCCTATCAGCACAGCTTGCTTAATAAAGTAGTACTCTACACAAAATGGAGATCAGCAATTTTTTCTATATGCTCACAGAGTCAAAAAAAGACAGCGGGAACAAAAGCTCTGTTTTGAAGAAAGTGTGAGTGCTTCCTGAAAGACTGCTGAACAGAACCACTTTTGGGTTTTAGTTTTGGTATATGTTCTCTGTGACGGCTTCTTCATAGAAACCGCAAAACTTAAAGCGGGGATTTGATTTTTTTATCAATATTCAGGATATAGGATGGTAAAATACAAAATATCTACAGCACTTCCCTTCTCTTTCCATAGAGTTTGCAGTATCTAGGATTTTGGTGTATCTCACATGTTAAACAAAACACACAAAATGTGCCAGTGGAAGGAACTGACTATGGTTCGATGTACTGAAGTGACGTGGCTTGCATAGCGGTATTTTAGACCACGTATACAAATGTCTTTATTCACTTTCCACCAGTCTCTTACATAACTCTTTCAGTCCTTAGCTGGGTTGGAATCACGCCATGAGTCTTCGGATCTAGTTTTAAAATGATCTAAAGTCTTGGATACCATTATCCACCCTTCATTCCTGTTGACACTTTTTTAGCCAATATCTCAATGTTTATTACTATTGAACTTTTAATCTAAGTTAATATCTTCAATATACTAATAATTATATTTGCTCTCAATCCCCTTAACTGTCTGAACTATACGAGGTAGTTTCATTTGTTTAATGTTGCTTTAGAAAACAGTTAAATCTCTTGCATGAATGCATCTAAAAGTGAAAAAAGGAAGGTGTAATGGAAGACTAGTTAAGAGGAAATAATGAAGACGTTTACACAGTCAGGTGGAGAGATTTCAGGATGTATTGCTCATACAGACATGATGGCTGCATAAATGCTCAAGCATGCAAGATTAAAGGCTTTTAGCATTAGCTGCACTTGCTTGCTTCCAAAACTGTATTGCAAACGGGGAAACCCAAGCTCTTGGTCTACACATTGCAAGTACAGAGCTAGAGAGGATGGTGAGAGAAGCACTGGTACAACATTTTTTGTTGGCAGTCTGTCATCAAGAACTGATACCCACAGAACTTTTCTTCTAGTTCCTTTCATCTCTTCAAAAGAAAGAGGTGAAACCCTTTTCCCCCAAGCCTCCCAAATACAAACTGTAGCCAAAACAGGACAGACAGAGAAGAATAATGGACTACAAATGTATGCATAAACAGCACAGATTTTTTCCCCAGCGTCTGTCAATATATACATTCATTCCATAGGCCAGTTCTTTCCCTTCACGATCTGCATTTGTAGCAATCATCAAAGATGAATACAAAATTGTTCGGCCATGTGCTGGGAGAGTGTAGGTTGCAGAGAAGTCAAATGCTGTCTTCCTTGATCGCACAGTCTCTCTCGCTCCTGATACCTATATTCATGATCTAAAGTCACACATCACTGTTTCTTTTGATGTGAAAACAAAGGCAGATGAAAATACCCATGCTTATCAGGTCCTTATCTCCACCAGTTACACCTATGAAAAAAGGCAGCAATACAGCTTTTCTATCTATCTTTTTTACTTTCACACTTGCAACCCTGTCAGACTGAGTACTCAGCAATTACATGATTTTCCTCCAAGAATTCAAGCACTTGATGCAATCAGGATGATATGATGTGTTCCCATGCAAAGTGTGCTTTGAAGCGAGATATTTTGATTGAGGAAATCACAGCAAAAACCACAAAAGTAAAAGATGGTTTGACTTTTTACTCCTAGTTTTAACTGAAGAACAGTAAGAAAACGCTGTGGCTCAGGACTCTTTAGGTGCTAAGGCATGAAAACAGTTATGACTCAGTTGCATATAAAAAGGAAGAGCGGGTGTTTTACCTGTGCCACATTCAGGCAGCATGCACGGGTAAAAGCGCATTTTGTAAGTTAAAATGAAGGCTAAAAATTCTTATACTTTGAGTTCATAACCATATGTTTCTATCACCTAAATGTTCAAATGGATAATCACTCAAGGAGAATTTGAACTGCTGTATATTTCTAACTGCCCAATATACTCGGAAAAATTACGTAATTGATAGCACAAAAGAAGAGACTGAAAGTGCTCAAAGTGATGGTGAGAACTTCTTTTCATTACATTCAACAGAAGAACTGTCACCACCACTTTAATATGCTGGACTTGTAGCAATGGCAGCAAGTAGTAGTTACCTCCTCCATGGCTGAACTTGCATTAAGTGTTAGACTATGATTCCTCTTACACAAACCATTTTTGAAATTTGCTCAGTAAAAGTAGAAATAAAAATGAAGGGAAACGAGACAAAAATATAGCATGAAAATGCAGAACAAAAGAAATGCGTGTGAGATACTGAAGTGTAGGAGTGCATTCAATGCACCACAATTATGCCTCCAACTATTGTTTGTTCTGTCATGTGAATGAGATTGTTTTACGCATTTCCCCTCCCACTTTTTGCCCATGTGCATGTGTATCTTTCCAAACATACAGAAACCTCAAAGCACTACAGCTGATTACGAACACCGAGTTCTGTGTCCTTGTCCCGTTTGCTACCCGCTATCATTTAAAAGCATTTTCCAGCTTTATTCCTGTCAGTTATCTCATAACAATTCCTACTTAATTTTCCCTAGCAGCTCTTTTCCATACTATAGTTTCATTTTATTTCTCACAGATTCTAATCTCTGTGCTATAATTCTGTATTTTTTTTGGCATAAAACAGATAAAATGATATTTATTGCCTCCAGATTGCAGCATCCCATGCCTCATATTTAGATGGATTTCTATAGATCACTCTAACAAATCGGTATCTTAAACGAATGCACTATTATGAAATCTACCACATATATTATAAGGGGGAGCTATTTCACGTTCTTGTTTCCTGATTTCCATTTCACATAAAAGAGTTTTAAATAAAATTGTTATAGTCAATATGAAAATTGCTGAATAAATACACTGAAACCACATTTGTAGCTCACACAAGATGGTGCTACAGTGCTACATACAGCATATGATTCTGAAATCATTGAGATCTATGAGTATGCACACTGGAATAAAAACAAATTACATTGTGGAAAATCCTTAATTAATGGTATCTGAATACATGCAGCACATCTCTATAAACACAGTGGTGAAAACAGAAATACAGAAATTTTGGCTGAAGATCAATTAGAGCAGCAGCCAGCACACATATTCAATGCTCTAGCATACATGGGTATGGCATATGCTTGATAACAAACTGCTCTGACCACAATATCCTTTAATTTTTATTCATCTTTACACACCATAATGATTGAACTTTTTGCTAAGAACTACTGCTATGGATTTGGGGACTGTCACTATAGAACAGATACAGTGGCTACATTTCTATTAATTGGTTGAAGAGTACCAGAGCCTTTTTTTGACTTTGAGGCCAACCGGCATAGACTGGCCACATACCTACTAGTAAACACTCACCATCCAGCGAGGAGAGCCACGTCCAAACTACCTACTGGTTTCTATACTGGAGTAACTCCTAAATCACATCTATGAATTATCTGGGAAAATGCTAGGTGAGAATAACACCAAGGCACTTTCTATCAACACAACCACATAGGTAACTGAGTTACAGTGCTTAGGCCCATACCTTCACACTGTTTAATTCACTAGTAGATGTAGCTAACAGTTTCACATTCTAATGTGAACCTAAAAAATATTAGTAAACCCACAGACTGATTCTAAGACTGTTTTTTTAAGAACAACAAACATTTTACATCATTTTGAGTTGAGCTTATTATGCTTTCAAAAACTAAATCTGAGTTGGAAGACAAAATAGTACAGTCCAGCTGTAGGTCTCTAATTTTACTGGCTTAGGTAGATACATTCTTCCTTGAAACTGAATAGTCTCTCTTACTCAATTTTTTTGTGAAACCTTTAGAATGCATGGCTATAGTTCTTGTTTTAAAAATCAATCTGAAATGAGGAACATGTTCAACATACTAACTTCTACTTTCTCTGTAAAGAAATAGAGAGAGAAGTGACTGGAACTGCACACAGAATGTTAAAAGTCAGATGAGACTCCAGCATCAGACATGACAGAGGTTGTATAGTGCTGGCATAAAAGCTCCACCAAAAAGTGTCAGCTTACAGAAAAGCTGTAATAGAATTCTCATTGGCTAAATGGAGACCTAGAAACTAAGCAACCACGTGAACCCTGTTTGCGCAGTAGAAGTAAAAGAAAACCAACAAACAGACCTAATGATGGAAAACAACTAATGGATCTAGGTAAATACAAACATCTATGCTTTTAAAAACAAATATATCAAGTATCAAAAAGGTTTACTATCACTAGTACAGTGTTCAGAGGCATTGAAAGCCTTGGGTATTGCTCATAGGTTTAGGATGAGAGCTGTAACTAACAGTGAACAGACAGAAATCTTGGTTCTTTACCCACTATGGGACACTGGGCTTTTGTTTGGAAAGGATTAGTATTGAGTTTATAATTAGAGGTCAGGACAGAATCCTAAGTAGGCTGCAGAACTAGGTTAATTACTGGGTCCTGTAAATGTCTGAGTGAAAAATGATAGTTTGTACCAGCATCAACGAAAAGTTATAAAAAAATTTTAATGGCCACCCTTCGCAAATGGTCTGGACAACACTACCTGCTAAGATACGACTGTGAGTGTAAATACTGTGTGAGTATGCATACATTGATCATACTAAACTGCCTGAAGGATGTTTGCCCCAAACTATCATATTAAAAAGGAAGGCTATTATCAGGCCCCAACTGGACGTTTTAAAGAGGAAGACGACCATTAGTATGATTC